TGATTCATTTTGCATGCAACATTACAAAGTAAATTCAAAGTTTGTGCGTAAAACGGTGCTAATGCAATTCAACATAATGAGAGACGTCTGTAAATAAATTAGCAGCAGCATCTTTCAGCCCCAATAAATGCGCATTTCAGAAATTGGTGTGATGACATTACTGAATAACATGGTGAGGCTCTAGTTCGCAGTTTTTTTTTCTCCCCTGTTCCTAAATGTCAACCAATAGACAGAGATAATGACGGTTCGGTTCAGTCGACCAATGAAACCTTGAGCTGATGAGTTTGGCAGGAGCCGCGGAGCGGAAACTCGACAGTTTGACGCGCGGCGCAGAGGTGGTGAGACCTGTCAGAGTTCAAACAAGGAATTAGAGAAACGAGGACCGTCATCCGAGACCATGGACACGAATAAAACTAAATTAAATCTATTTTTGCCGCAGTTAACGTGATTTCGTTTGTTTTAATCCTTCATAATCTGCTGCGCAACGAGGAGTCATGGAGCGCGCGGAGACGAAACCGCCATCGAAATCAAATCAGGAACCCATACGATTCGGGATCGACCAGATTCTGGGCTCTTTGGACCAGGAGAGCAGGGTCGGAAACACTGTGAATAACAGCCGCTTGGAAAGCCCATCCAGGGCGAGCGTCGCGCCTCATGTCTCCTTACCCGTCTCTCTGTCCGGAGTCACGGGTGCGCTGGAGGACTCCGGGCGGGTGTACGGGGTGAGCGGCACTCTGGTGCCCAGTGGAGTGATTCGGGTTCCGGCGCACAGACCTCTCGCTGCCGCGGTGCCGCCGGCCATGGTGAGCGCCGCACCGGCGCTGTGTTTCCCCTGGATGGACAATAACCGCAGGTTCCCTAAAGACAGACTGCCAGGTAAAAGACAAACATCTCTGAGGATGCTGGAGTTTGTTCAAACGATGCAAACATATCTGGCTGCTGGACCTGCGCAGTTGCCTTCAGAAAAAAAAAAACATTTTTTTAAAGCTTTCATCTCCAAAAAAATAAAAATAAATAAATAATAAAATAAATAAATATGTTGAACTTACAACAAGCTTATCACAATGATATCCCCCTGAAAAACTTTATACGACTTTGAATACAGTTTTTGTAATGATATGAATTATAAACAACTAGTACAATAGCTTACTACTTTTACAATTACTAGCTTACAATAAATCAAAAGGTAATGGTGATGATACCGATAATTATATCAATTTAAATTAGTTGGCTAGCCTATATTTAGGCTATATGCTATAAAACAGATGAATTCACAAAACGCACACATGCAAAACATTTTGATTATAAAATAGTCAAAGTAACAAAACAAATTATTTGGTTGGTTGCTGTAATGTGTTTAATGTTAATCCAAAATATTGATTTAATGATTAGGCCCAAAAGTAGGCTATATTTAAACTATATTAAAATGATACAATTTCTTCAGTTAAGTCAATAAATCGTAAACATGTCTTTTAACGTTATAATAGCCTATTTACAACATGTAAGAGGAATTGAGTTGAGTTCAGCACAACGGTTTAAAATCAGTTTTAAGAAAAACGTGCTTGTTTCTGGACCCAAATTGTATGAAAATTGAAAAGAAAAATCTAAAAGGAATATAATAATAATAATAAAGGAAATGCTAATTCAAAACTCTCACTTCAGAAATTAATGCATCCTTTTCTGTTCGTGTTCCCTTGGGTAAAAATATTGATTTAATAATTTAATAAGCGTGAAAATGATTTAAAAAAAATAAACAAAGTATTTTGTTTCAAACATAGGTGACCGTTTTAGTGATTCACATTAGTCAAATAAATCTGCATGAATCTTAAAATTAGCCTAATAAATGTTCTCTCAAATTACCTCAAATCCGATTTATTTTTGTAATTGCACACGTTGACCTCCTTGACAGTGATGTCGTTCATGTGGACAAACAGCTGTTTTGGGAAGGGAAAAAATAGCTACCTACAAAATACATTAAAGATGCACACAAAACAACTTTCACAATAGGTTTTGTTACATTTGAACTAGGTTGTATATGTATATGAAGCAAATAATAAAATTAGCCAATAAATTCAACAAGAGAATTTCGTTTCAAACTCGAATTATAAACTATTTAGGCTAATTTAGTACAGTAATTATAGAATTATCCGAAAAATATATTTGTTTTTAGAAAATTTAAAGGAACAGAGCATCATAAATGACTCGTGTACCTGTGTTTCGCAGCTTTCATTCCGTTCACCGTGACCCGGCGGATCGGTCACCCGTATCAGAACCGAACTCCCCCCAAACGGAAAAAGCCCCGCACGTCGTTCTCGCGCGTGCAGATCTGTGAGCTGGAGAAACGCTTCCACCGGCAGAAGTATCTGGCGTCCGCGGAGCGCGCGACCCTCGCCAAGAGCCTAAAGATGACCGACGCGCAGGTCAAGACCTGGTTCCAGAACCGACGGACCAAGTGGAGGTGAGACCGGTTTGACCCAGATCTGTTCACCCGAACATCACACACATGACTGAAGGACTTCAAAACAGTACAAGATGCTTATTATTTCATTAACGTGTTTTTTTTTAACACAAGTTGTTGAAGCTGGAAAATGTAACTGCAAACATTTAGACGTATTTATATTCAAGGTATTACACGTTTTAAATTTTAGTTTAAATTTTAAGCAAATCATTTTACATAACTAGCATTTAATCATAATGAAAATATTTAATTTAAATAAATAAATTAAATTTAAATACGGACCTTTTTCACATTCCTGTTGTTCTCAGAAGTGGAAGTATAGTCAGAGTTTGCTAAATTTCTATAGTGGTGAACGGAAACAAACAAATATATTTTTTGCGTTATAGTTTTCTCCATTAGCAAAAGAAAAAACCATAGTGGTTCTATGGCTTTCCTAAAAAGTGGGAAAAAATGAGAGATTGATTACGTTGGACAGAGAGAAAGATGTGAAATTTGCCGTCGTGTTAGAAACACTGACGCAACAGCGTTTACTAGTTTTATGTAATTTAATGCCAAGGTAATAGAACAGAAAGTAAAGTGTTATAAATGTACATTTAAAAATGAAATTAGCTAGATTCATGATGCTGATAACTGTGGAAACACATCACAGTCTGTCAATAGGGTCTATTATGATCACAATTTGATTTAAAATCCACAATTTCTTTAATTATTATATGAATTTTATCAAAGGGTCAAATGTTTTGGATTTCTACATTTTGCTAACTATAATCTTACTTCAAAATCTCCAGAAGGCAAACAGCTGAGGAAAGAGAGGCGGGACGTCAGCAAGCCAATCGGATGCTGCTTCAGCTTCAGGCCGACGCCCTCCAGAAGTCCATGAGCGAATCAGTCTCGCCGGATCCTCTATGTGTGCATAACTCCTCCCTCTACGCCCTCCAGAGCCTCCAACCTTGGGTCCAGGAGAGACCGGGTAAAATGGCCCCAACAACCACGGCACTGGCTTAAAATCTCTGCCATGATGCTGGAATCAGGACAGTGAAGCTTCAAACTGTCCTGCACTTTCAGAATGGAAAGACTAAAACCGTCATATCTGAATATGAATCAGGCTTTTTGAACAGTTTTTTTTTTTTTTTTTCATCTAAGCACTTTTTGTGGGAATAGTGAACTGTAATGACATCTGTGAGTTTGTTATGGACACAAAAACTTTCCAAACACCATCCCATGTAGATGCTGCCTTGGAAAAATAGGGTGAAACATTCACAGAAACTAACTGTCAATCAACCTGAATCACAGAATTGTATATATGAACTGTTTAATTGATGTCTGTGAGAAAGTCTACAAAATATTGTACTTATCGTAATTATTTTGTGCTCTTATGGTGGCGATGCATTACCGACTAATGTTTGTCATTGTTGACGTACTTTCAACCGGAAAAAGCAATGGTGTGTAAATACAGTATAACACTGAACAATCAGCATTATGCATTGAAAATTTTATTGTTAAATAGTTTATACAACATTCCAACAAGAGGATATTTAAGCTTCCCGTCTCCTCCATCTGTCTGTCTGATTGACCGTCTGTCTCTCCGTCATAATGGAAACATAATCGTCCCTCAGTCGACCCTGTACTTTATACAATACACAGTTTTTATATAACTCTCAAGAGACACTGCCGCTCCGTATTTGATTATTCAGGCCCACTTTGCAGAGTATAAAATATACATTGTGTGTAATAATTCAAATATCATATATATTAAACTCATCAAGCTTGACCGGCACAGTGATTGTTCAAAAACACATCATAACATGATCAGAAATGAGCAGAAAAATAATAAAAACAGCATTACTATGGTTATCAGAGCATATTCGGGTCTGCCAGGACTGTTTGTGATTGTTTCTACTTTCAACACACTTTTAAACATGATGGCTTATGTTTCCTGGCACAAAAGTATTTGTTCATGTGTGTGTGTGTGTGTGTGTGTGTATGTGTGTGTATGTATATAATTTGAATATATATATATATATGAAATATGAAGAGTTCATTTGCAAAAACAGATAACTCTGTTTTTAACAATTTTCAAAAATCATGTTTTTTCATTGTGCATTTCAATTAATCTCAATCAAACTGCTGTTGAGTTGTTTTAATTAGGTTAAAAATAACTTTAAAATACAGCTAACTAACACAATAAAACAATAAAAACATGATAACATAATAAAAAAAACTGATTTTTTTTCATGATTTTTGAGTTATCTGTTTTTGCAAATAAACTCTTCGTGTGTATGTATATATATATATATATATGAGGAGTTTATTATTATGATGAAATATACTTTCTCTATTTTTCAACTCAAATCCAATGTTGAGAATTGAACCTGCGACCTTTGGGTTACAAGTTCAACTCTCTAACCATTAGGCCACAACTAATATTCAGTTTCATTCAGATATACATTAGATTTCGAAGCAACTGAATTGTGAATGTCACTTATGTTGAGTTGCATTTGTCTTTCGAAGTTGCAATTGTCAAATCTTTAATTTGCTGTCTTTTAATTAATTTCATTTTTATTTTATTTTTGCTCTCTTGAATTATATCACAGTAAGGTGGCATTATGGCTGCATAAAACAGTACTAAGTTTTGGCAATTCACAGCTTTAACGCAATAAAACAAAAAGTGGTTTTATATTACTTAAACACAAACAAAGACAAATATAGTGACTGCTAAAGTTTGCTACGGCACCTGCCATCTGCACAGAAGCCAATGTGTCACATTTCACCCCAAAATCATTAGAAATAAGACATTTGCTGCCTTTAATTTATGCATATTTAAATAAAATCACTCTATTTCATTAATGAGAACCACATTTAGAGGATACTGGGGTGAAATATCAGATCTTCTCCTGATGACACTGACTGACAGACAAACAGACCAATCAGAAAGCAGATATTCGAGTAGGCGGAGCTAAGAGCGATCACAAGCCAACAAGAGACGAGTGATGAATACAGACTCTCACTAATAATGGACACGAACAGCAAGCAGTGGTCAGGATGACGAGATGCACGAGCACAAGACAAATACTGTCAAAAACAAACACAGCAGACAAGCAACTTCTGCAAAGCCGGTTAAATGACTGCTGATGGGTCGGCTCATGAGAAAACCACTGGTTATATTACTGGATTAGCATTTCTACCTAAATGACAGACACAGAAAAATGGTCTTAGGATGAATATCTGTAGCACATTAGCTGGAGAACTATCACAGGTGGAGTATATCGGATGTTGTTCTGGAAAAATTTACCCACAATCCACCATAAATAGCTTTAAATGCATCACGTCAAATCCCTCACAGTAAATTCAGTCCCATGGAAAGAGTTCAACTGGCTTCTACAGGACCTCTTGGAAACCCGCTGGGCCTTTGACACACAATTACTGACATGCTCTTTTAACTAGGACCTTTTTTGGTTATAGACATATAAATCTCACATCTGTAACAGAACGAGGTCAAACACCGGGGTTTAAAGGACACGCAGGTTTCCCGGGATGTAAATCAAACAGTCGGCATATTGCCATGGTAACAAGGTGATGTCAAACTGTAACCATGGTGATTGGGGTAAAAGTTATTCCCCCTTTTTTTGATCAGATTCAACAGTTCATTGGTTTCTTTCTTCCTGTAGCTCTATATCACGTTCTCAAAGAGCTGCAGTGATCTCATGATGTTTTCATCCTGAAGAGAAGAAATGCGAATAGAAGAAAGAGAAGTTCAATGAGAGACTGCTAAAGAAAGCAGGAAGAGACAGAGAGGAAAAAGAACAGACTAATTTACTTGAAAATACTTGAAAACTATTATAAAGATGAAAAGAGCAAGTCTGTCTTTAGACTATCAGTGTGCTTTAGTAAAAATAACCACCCAATAGGACAAGAAGCAGCTGATGAATGACCAATCACAGTTCACAGAGTTAGATTTTTTTTTCAACTGCTGGTGCTGTGTGGTACAAAAAGAAAATAAAGTAAAGCGGAAGCAAAATATCAAATAATAAAAAAGTAGTTCTTTTGGAAACATTAAAAATGTAAGTGAAGAAAACTTAATTAGTTTGTTTATAATTTAGCGCCATGCTGATGCGGCAAGCAAGTGAAAAATAGAAAAAGTCTATAAACAACAAATAAAAAATTACAAAAGGTTTATCACTGATAACAGAAATCTAAAACTAAATCTGGCCTCACTACATTACAAAAACAAAATAAAAAAGAATTAACCAAAAAGTAAAGAGTCCTAGGAGTTAAACCAGGGTTATTACACTTAACTAAAATTAAAACTATATATTAAAAAAGAAGAAAAGTTTGTTATTTGAAATTAAAAACATTAACTGAAATAGAATATAAATAAACTTAAACCTATTTTATTTTTAGCTAGTTGCAAATGCAACATTTCACATTTTGATTTTGTTGAAAGCTAACTAACTCGGTTTTGTTGAAAGTTAACTAACTCGTGGTTAGTGCGTCGACAGATAGCGCAACTGCGCTCACGGCGACCGAGTTCAATTCCCGTCTCGAGGTCCTTTGCCGATCCTCTCTCCTCCCAGTGCTTTCCTGTCGTCTCTCTCAATAAAAAGGCATAAAAGCCCATAAAAATAACTTTAAAAAAATTATTAGTTTAAAAAAAAAAACAGATAAAAAACAAGAGAATTACTATAAAATAAAAGTGACAACAGAAAATATAAAAATAAAATCTAATTCAAAATATTAACAAAAACTATGATAGCATATCAACGACACTAAAATAACATTAAAACCATCACAGTCCATCAAAATATGCTTTATAGATATTAGACTGTATTTAATAAGGGCCATAAAGGAAGAGCTTCATTTATTAACAAAAAGTTAATGAAGTGACATTCGGCAAAACAAAAAAACGAAAAAAAAAAAGTTTTTTAATTAATTTGTTTGTTTATCATTTAGCACCATGTCAATATGGCAAACAAGTGAAAAATAGAAAAATTAAACGAATAAATGAATAGACTGTATATAAACAACAAATAAACAACAATTATAAAAGGTTTATCTCTGATGAGAAAAACCTAAAACTAAAACATTCATTAACAAAAAGGTAATGGAGTGACATATTCGACAAAACAAAAAAAAAATTATAATAACCATGCCTGGATGGTAATATTATTTATTACTTACTTTTTTTTAATAAAACAAGCAAATAAATGTATATATTTGCCTGGCTGTCAGTGGGCAGGATTGATTTTATTGATATTTTATCAATACTGCAGTACTCACTCTCTAACACCAGAGGGCACTGCTTATTTAACCAGACTACGACTGGAAGGGAATACTACTGTAGTCTACTGCATACTTCACAGGATATACGGTTTACTTTTTAAAGAAATAGTATGTGAAACAGTATGCAATGAGAAATGTTTCAAATATGTTGCATCGTAACAAACTCACTCACGTTTAATTCACAGAGGGGCATGCAATTATAATCTTAGAAATAAATGCTTTTATATATTTAGCATTTTAAAAGATATTAAAATTGTGTTCACCTCTTAATAATCAAATCAAAATCCATGCATACTAAATATATATACTGACTTTGCAGTATGTGTACAATGCACAATTTTTATGTATGGAATAACCAGATAACCTACTACATTTGCAAAAATGTGCTGTATACAAGCATACTTTGGATACTATTTTTGCAGTATATATACAGTGTTAAGTATGTATGGAAACGGCACATTTTTGCAAATGTTGTAAGTCATTGCCTAACTTTGCATACAGTTTACATACTGCAAAAAAAGTATGAATAGAATGCTTGTATGCTGCACTTTTTTTAAATGTATTAGATCATTTGGTTTTCCATGCATACTAAATGTGCACTCTGTGCACTATATACATACTGGAAAAAATAGTATGCATAGTATGCCATTCTGAACATGAAAAGGTACTGTACCTCTTGACAGGACAAAATAAACTCATCAAGAGTGACGACTCCATCTCTGTTCTTGTCCATTTTCTGCATGGAAGTGATTTACAATGTGACGAAAACAACATCATCATCTTGTTGTGCAGACAAATATTCAAGATGTACAATCACAGACTGACCTGAAAGAAAGCATCCACATGCTGTTTGGGAGTGTCTGTCCTCAGAGCGGGATACGTGAAGCGGCCCATCATGTCATATATGGCTTTCACTATATCAGTCATCTCCTGGAACAGTAAAATGCATTGCATTATACATTTTGATCATCAAATTAAACATTTCAATATCATCTTATTAAGACATATTATTGGAGATGAAGAGTGATGACTGACACACACACACCTCTTTATTAATGTAACCGTCTCTGTTAATGTCGTACAGGTTGAAGGTCCACTGTAACTTCTCTGTTGTTGTTCCTCTCAACAAGATGGACAGAGCCATTACAAAGTCCTGACAGAGAGAGAGAAACAATGAGGAGTGATTTATCATTGCAGAGACAATCATAAAGCCCTGCTGACACACAAATAAAAATAACAACAGAAGAAACAGAGAAGGTGAAGACCAATGGATAAATAAAGAGAAAAGGCACCTCGAATTTGATGGATCCATTGTGGGAAGAGTCGAAGGCGTTGAACAGGTAATGCGCGTATGTGCTGGCGTCTGCAGAGAAAACATGTATAAATCACATCTCAAATGTTTTCATATTTGCTAAGGACTATAGGAGGGGAATTACTGTTAATGTAAAACCCTAACACTTTACAACAAGGGTTCATTTGTTAACATTAGTCAACTGCATTAGTTAACATGAACTAACAATAAAAAATCCTTCAAAAGCATTTATTAATCTTAGTTAAGTCAACATTTCACATTATAATCATAAGTTGTATCTATTTATAATATATATATATATATATAGAGAGAGAGAGAGAGAGAGAGAGTACAACAAATATATTGATGATTATTAAATAGTACAAAAAATATATTGATGATTGTACAGTAAGTAACTAACGTTAACTAACCTTAACTAATGGGACCTTATTGTAAAGTAAAACTAAAAACACGCACGCAAAAAAATGGAATTACTTCAAATAAAATATTAACATATAAATAAAATAAACATTAACCGAAGTAAAATAAAATATTAAAAAGAAACTTATTTTAATTCAGCTAGTTGTGAAGTCAAAATTTCACGTTTTGTTTAGTTTAAATTGAAGTACTAAAATAACTGAAACTAAATATACAAAAACCTTAACTTAATTAAAACTATATAGACAATCACAATACTTCTAAAGCATTTATTACGCTTAATGTTAATTTCAACAATTAATCAATAAAACAAAATATTAAAATAAATAAACGTTAGACCAACATTAACTGAAGTAAACTAAGATACAAAAGTGTTTAGCTAGTTGCAAAGACAAAATGACTCATTTTCATTTAATTTAAGTACTAAAATAAAACTAAAAGAACAAACTAAGTAACTTAAAAAATATACAGTAGACATCTTAAAAAATAATAGAAATTACACAAAAAAAAACAATTACACAACACAAACAAAATTACTAAAACTATTAAAATTAAAATATAAACAGAAAATATAATTAAAATCAAATTCAAAATATTAACAAAAACTATAATATTATATAAAGTAACACTGATATCCTAAACTTAATCCTCACGGAACCTGCTGATATCAATTTGGTCATTTTATGAGCCTTTGATGAAGTGAGATCCTGCTCACAATCACTGTAGTAGCAAAGACGATTTTAACTAATGATGAACACTTTGCAACTAAATAATCAAGTGAGACACAGAGACAGACAGATCAGCTGCAAACACACACTGACCGCCGTGAGGAAAGAACTGCGAGTAGATCTGTTTGAACGTCTCCTCGTTGACCACACCGCTGGGACACTCCTGACAAACAAGCAGAAGAACACACACGTTAGGTTTTGACAGATGAGCAGACGGACCATCAGGAAAACACGTCTACAGGTGTGTGAGTGTGCATACGTTTTTAAAGCCTCTGTAGAGCACTTGCAGCTCTTTCTTGCTGAAGTTTGTCTGAGCCTCCAGCTTCTCCAAACCCTCGGGACGGTGACACACCACAGACAGCTCCAGATCATCATCCACCTTATCTGCACACAGATTACAACAGATTTACAACACCACATGGTCAATACACTTTATTTACTTCATACGATGCATTTAAACATGAAATACAATATTCAATTTAAATAAATAAATAAAATATTTTATCCATCAGTAATTGATTACATGGGGATAAAAAGTCAATTCAGTGCAAGAGGAAATTATATATATTTTTATCATATTTATGTTAAGACAAGTTTTTAAAGAAGAAAATAAAACTTTTATTCAGCAAAGATGCACTGTAAAGTATGGAAGCTCGTTTCCGCCACTGAATAAAAAATAAAAAAGGTAATTGTGACTTTTTATCTCACAATTCTGACTTTTTTTCTCATAATTGCGTGACTCAAACTCGCAATTGTGACTTTTTTTTTCAGAATTGCGTGATATAAACTCACAATTGCGAGTTAAAAAGTCATAATTGTGAGATATAAACTCACAATTGCGAGACATTAAGTCGCAATTCTGAGAAATAAAGTCAGAACTGCAAGATATAAACTCGCAATTCTGACTTTATAACACTCAATTGCGAGTTATGAAGTCAGAATTGTGAGATATAAACTCGCAATTCTGAGAACCTATCAGTCTTTTTCCTCCCCTCAGAATTGGACTTTAACTCGCAATTGCGTGTTATAAAGTCAGAATTGCGAGATATAAACTCGCAATTCTGAGAAAAAGTCAAAATTGCGAGATATACACTCACAATTGCGAGAGAAAAAAGTCAGAATTGTGAGTTTTTATCTCACAATTCTGACTTTATAACTCGCAATTGCAACTTAAAGGGTTAGTTTACCCAAAAATGAAAATTCTGTCATTAATTACTCACCCTCATGTCGTTTCAAACCCGCAAGACCTTCATTCATCTTCAGAACACAAATTAAGATATTTTTGATGGAATCTGAGAGCTGTCTGACCTTGCATAGACAGCAACGAAATGTTCCCAGGTCCAGAAACGTAGCAAGGAAATCGGTAAAATAATCCATGCGACATCAGTGGTTCATGCGCAATTATACGAAGCTACGAGAATACTTTTTGTGCGGGGAAAAAAAAAACGACTTTATTCAACAATTCGTCTCCTCCGCATCACCCTGGTGCCATTTTGGAGAATATCCTCTTGACGTAAACGTTTGTATTCTGTTCTGTGTCAGCTGCGTCACACGGATACGCTTTTTCCGTTCAGATCAAATCACAACAACATAGGAAACATGTCGCAATTGAGAGTTTATCACGCAATTCTGACTTTATTTCTCAGAATTGCGAGTTTATATCTCACAATTATGACTTTTTAACTCACAATTGCGATTTTATATCACCCAAATCTAAGAAAAAAAGTCACAATTGCGAGTTTGTATCACGCAATTCTGAGAAAAATAGTCCGAATTGTGAGATAAAAAGTCGCAATAACCTTTTTTAAAATGTTTTTATTCAGTGGCGGAAACGGGCTTCCATAGTAAAGACATCTGTAATGTTACAAAAGATTTCTATTTCAAATCAATTTTGTTCTTTTGAACTTTCTGTTCATCAAAGAATCCTCCAAAATAAGATGCATCGCGGTTTTCACAAAAATATTAAGCAGCACAACTGTTTTAAACATTGATCATAATCAGATATGTTTCTTGAGGAGCAAATCAGCATATTAGAATGATTTCTGAAGGATCACGTGACACTGAAGACTGGAGTAATGATGCTGAAAATTCCGTTTTGATTACAGGAATAAATGACATTTTACTATATATTCAGATCTTACAATATATTTAGAACTTGTATATATTTCACAGTATTACTGTTTTTACTATTTACTGTGTTTTTTTTTGTTTTGTTTTTTTAAATAAATGCAGACTTGGTGAGCAAATGTTCACAAAACATTACCAAAAAAAAAAATCTTAACCACAAACTTTTAAATAGTGTAGATCAAAAAAAAAAAAATAACGAGACGAGATCCAGTCAAAAATAGCAAACAGTGAGAGGTTTATTTCTTAATCTGAAGCACTGAATCATGTTTCAAAAATGTACTAGTACAGAGAGACTCCCTTGTGTACTAGAGATGACGACAGCAAAGCCACACGACCGTAAAACATGCGTTTGACATTCACAATGTTAGAAACGTATGATTAGCTCATTTGCATTTTTTTTATTTAGCAGCTACCTATTTTTATCATATTTAAAAAATATTCCTTACAGAGTTATTAGAGTTAATTAAAACCATAAAAACATTTTGTTACTTACAAAATAACTGAAATAAAATAGATTTTGTTTTGGTCCAGCTAGTTGCTAAGCCAACTTTTCTTATTTTCAACTTGATGTACTAAAATAAACTAAAAGCTGAAATAAAAATGAATAAAAACTACATAGAAAAAATCAAAATGACAACAAAATTACTAAAGCGTTTACTAAAATGAAAATGAAAATTGAACATATAAAAATCAAAACTAATTCCAAATATTATTAAAAACTATAATAGCATCTCAATGACAGTAAAATAACACCGTTTCTGTATATAAACTCTAATGTACCTCAAAAGTCACAACAGCAACACTCAACTGAAAGGAGAAAAACAAAACAAATATACAGTCTGAAATATGAAGGTGAATGGCTAGGATCATTCTGGCAGGTTAATTTATAATACATAAGGACGGACGAGGCATGTGTGTGTGTGTGTGTGTGTGTGTGTGTATTAGAGCACTGAAGGACACACACAGGTGAGGTCAAAGGTCACGTGCCGGAGGCTCTCTCTGCTGCTCAGTGTCCTTTAGCAGCATCACATTACAGCACTGCACTCGCTCTAACACACACACAATGATCTGATACAATCTCAGTCTTTCAAAATTTCACATTGAATTCAATTGCTTGCCGATTCTCTGTAATTATTTCTGAAATTTACAAGCAGTTTCTGAATGAAAATCATTTAGAAGTAAATCCCACACCAACTGTTTTTCAGTGCCAGTGTAAAGCATCACAATTTCTTTGTATGTTATAAATATATTTACAATGAATGTTTCTCTCATTGACACCTTGATCTTATTCCACAGCTGGTGAAATTCATTTTTCTGCAGAATTACTGTGAATTACGGTGATAAATGCAACTTTCTGACAGAGGTTAAATCTGATTCACGGCACAAATTCATTATAAGGCGTCTATTGTTAAACACACACATTTAACCACACAGAGCTCTCATAAACCATCTCAAACCAGACTCTTTAGTTTAGTAGTTGTGTGAGTCTCACCCTCGGTGCTGATGAGTCCGAGCGTGTGCAGGAGTTTCAGAGCTCCACACAGCAGCAGCACTATGGCTAAAGTTTGCAGTCCGTCTCCCTCTGCTTTCTCCATCACGCATGATTCTCTTTATTAGCCTTAATAATCGTATTTTCCTCTCGCTTTCATTCCAGTCTCTTTCTGTATTTGCTGAGCTCTCAACATCCATCTTTATATACACCTCTCTCTCTCTCACCTCTTTGACATCTGCTTCTTTGTTTCCCAGTTTGTCCTCTCTCTCTCTCCCTCTCTCTCTCTCTCTCTCTGTGTGTGTGTGTTTCAGAAATATTCACAGTGCTGTTTATCGAATTTTCATTATGCAGGACAATCAGAGTTCAGCAAAATCCAGAATTTGGCCCTTTTCAATTCAAAAGTAGCAAACAGGAATTTACAAAATTATAATCAGTGTTATCTTATATTATTTTTATAAAATAATTGGGATACTACATTTTTAATGAACCTTAAAACAAGTATTTTTTTTCACATGACAAAGGTTTTTTATGGTTTTCATTTTTTTTGTTTACTATAATAGCCCTGATTACAATTCAAAAACTACACAATAGTAGTAAAACAAATAATTACACATTCATTTATTTATTTACACCAGCCTGATATATTGAGTGGTAGTACATGTCTAAATGTATTTCATGTTCAACATCAAAAAAAGAACACAAAGCATTTTTATGTTTTGTTAAAAATTAATTCTTATTTAATTTTATTTAATAAAAATTAATTTATTTCATAGTGCTTCATGGAGAGAAACAGGTTCAAATGTATCAAAATATGAAAAGTAGAAAAAAATTACAAATGTTTTTTTTTTTAAAGAAAAAGTTATTATAAAAAATTCACATAGAGGACTTTAGATATTGTCAAACAAATTTTAAATTGTAATTTATTTTAGTTAAAGTTTGTTTTATTTTACATGGAAAAGGTATTTTTATAGTTTTAGTGTAGTACAATTCAAAAATTACCCAAAACTATTCAAACAAATAGTTACATTAATTTTTGAATATTTACACCAATTATTCCCTGATATATTGAGTAATACTACACGTCTACATGTATTCCATGTTCAATGTCAAAAAAATTAACACAACATTTTTTATTATTTGTTTCATAGTGCTTCATTGTGAAAAACAGATTAAAATGTATAAAATATATAAAGAAACAATTTACAAAAGGCTTTTAAAGTTTATCTTTGATATGAAAAATTCCTGGCCGCAATTCATTAAAAATATTTTTATATGAAAACAGATTTGAATTTTTATTTTCAAATACCTTCAAACCCTAAAAGACTTGACATCATAATCTGAATATATATGAGTAAATTAGAGTATTGTGGGATATGAAATGTTCTACTATGGTCAATAAAAACATTCATTTATTAAATGTAATTAAACAAATTAATTTAATACAAATTAATTTGGGTGGCATTGCACCTATCACCTAATGTTTCTGGATGTATATGGCTAATTCATACTGAAAAAAAGTCAAATTTGCAACTGCATCGATTTCATTCCATTTTAATTCTATGCTTTTAAATGCAAAATCACACTGCTTCAATTCACATTCATGCATTATGGATTCTGAATGGCGCAGAAGCCTGAGGGGAGTGTGTGTGTCTGTGTGTGTGTGTGTCCTTCACACTCTTAGGTGAGCCTGCAGCCCCAGGTGAGTCCTGCCCTCAGGTAGGACATTAAGAACAATGTCAACTCCCAAAGTGTGTGCGTGTGTGTG